AGCTCCAACTGGCAGAGAGAGGAATGTCCTGACTGCTTAACTCTCCTGCTAGTGTCTGGGAGCCAAAGATCTTTGTAAAATACCTGCCCAACAGAGCACATATCAGGTCTCCTGATATGCTTTGCCTTTTCAATGAATCCAAGGTATGCTGCTATTTTGCAGCTGGCCTAGTTTCACTCACCTTCTTTCCTATTTATCCTACATATTTATGCAGAACCTCAAGCAGAGATCACTGACTTTCTGTAGCTTTCTCTGCACTTTAAAGCACATCTTGCTTTACTGCTTGAGTGATAGGAAGCTCTTCTATGCAGAGCATTAAGCTGAGAAATCTGGAAAGGAGTACAGTGCCCTGCTTTGAACAAGGATGCAAAAAAATGCCACCCTTGTCTCTTAATGGATACACTTTGCCCTGCCTCTCACAAAGAGAGGAGTTTACCAAAAGGCTTTACCAAAGAGAGGAGGAATAATCTGAAAATGTATTCTCCTAATTACAGCTTTGCAAGGTACAAGTCACCGATGGCCACCATCCAGTCCTTGAATGGAATGTGGTAGGTATTTTAGCTCTGTTTTCTCAAGTCAGATCCAGTGTTATACTCTGTCTAAATTGATAATCTTGATGTGTACAAATAAACACGTGTGCATAGGTACATATGTAAAATTTCAACGTTTAATGCAAGGAAATGTTCAGTATTTCAAAGAAATAGAATGCTCTACTTCTCTCTAACACATCCTTGCAGCTCTGTTAGTCTATGCAGCCATATTGCCCTCTGCTGACTTCAGCCTGCACCGGCAGCTTTCCTCTGGCTTCAAGTCAGAGCTCTTATTTTCAGAGCAAATAACCATGATGCAGATTTTTTCCTGACACAGAATTGCAGAATGGCTGAGGTTGGGACCTTTGTAAATATCTGATCCAACCCTCAAGCAGGGCTGTGTAGAGCTGGTGTCCCAGCACCATGTCTGGATGACTTTTGAGAAGCTCCAAGGAGGGAGACTCCACAACCTCTCTGGGCAGCTTGTACCACTGCTCAGTCACCCTCACAGGAAAGCAAGTGTTTGGAAGGAACCTCCTGTGTTTCACTGTGCTCATTATCTCTGGTTCTGTCACTGGGCACCACTGAGAAGAGCCCAGCTCCATCCTCTGTGCACCCTCCCTTCAGGTAGCTGTATACCTTGATGAGATTCCCCCTGAGCCATCTCTTCTCCAGGCTGAGCAGTCCCAGCTCGCTCAGCCTTTCCTTACAGGAGAGGTGCTCCAGCCCCTCTGCCATCTCCATGGCTCTTTGCTAGACTATCTCCAGTATTCCTTCCCTGTAATGGAGAGCCCAGAGCTGGACATAGAGCTCCAGTTGTGCTTCCCTACTGCTGAGCAGAAGGGAAGGATCACCTGCCTCCTCTTGCTGGCAAGATTCCTCCTCATGGAGCTGGAATCCTGGGAGCCTGTTTTGCTCTGAGGGGACATTTCATGAGTATTTATGGATGTAGTAAAAAGTGGGAATGTAAACAGGTACTAAAACCTCAGTGTTCATGAAAGGAGTGTCACAACCAAAGCAAGGTGAGGTAGACTCATGACAGGAGGAAGTGAACAAAAAGTACTCAGGTGCCCATGGTTTACAACTACCACAGTACTACAGGCAATATACTGTCTTTATGATCTTTATTACTCAGAGAGAAGTAAAATCGCAAAAAAGAATTTTAACCATCTCTAAACTTCAGCAGAGTACCCAGGAAGGTTCAGCACATTTGTCCCACCCAGCATGACCCCCAAGGACATGCAGTTAGTTGATAGGCAAGGCTAGTCAGAGGTGATTACCAAGGCTGAGATGAATGGAATGGAGGGATCTAACTCTGCATTTCCAGTGTGCCCCTTTGCCTTCCCACTGTCCCCACCCACTAATACACAGTTTAATGCTTCCTGCATTCCCCCAGACCCCCTACACCCTCTTGTCTGGATGCTGAAGCAATAACCACACAAGCTGCCCTCCCTTCAGTGGCCACAGTAACCATTTATACTGACCACAGTAACTGGAGGCATCACACAGAGCCCCCAGTCATTTCTTGTTGCAGGAGATGGTATTGTTCATTGCTTACAGTAACAACATTCTCATGGCATTCAGATTGTGTCTGAAAAAAACTGTAATTTCCTATACTATACATGAAATACTCAAGTACTGCTTGTGCAGAGGGGAGAGCTCTGGTATCCCAACGTGCACCAAGGCTGGGAGACCATGGAGGATTAAAACATGCTGCCTGAGTAGTTCAGTTAGCTACAGCTGGAGCAGTTTTGGGTTTTATTCTCTTTGGCTGGCTCATTAATGAGCGTGGGAGGAAATGATGGGGACATGATACTATCTCTGCAACCATCAGGATAACTCTGGGATGTTTTCTCATTAGAATCACAGAATATTCGGAGTTGGAAGGGACCCACAAGGATCATTAAGTCCAGCTCAAGTGAATGGCCCATATGGGGATCAAGCCCACAACCTCGGCATTATTAGTACCATGCTCTAACCAACATGGATTTAAATATAAAAATACTGGGCATATACAGTCTCCAGCATTGCTGAAGGGCCGATCAGAGAAATCCTTATGGAAAAAGAAGAGAAATTCTACCTGCTGAATAGGGCCTTCCTTTTCCCCGGCTGTGTGGGAAATAGCAGAACGCTGCCCCCTGATGGAAATACTGATTTATGCAAGAAATTAGTACGTCTAGAAAACTTGAGAGCTCTTTTTCACAGAAAATACTTTCAATTTCAGGCAAGGGGGGGAATCAGTAGTATGACCTATGTTGCCTATCACTTACCTAAAGCAAAATTTAGGTGTTTTTAGCATAAATTGAACAGAATATTACATATATCCTAAATTAGGTAGAATTCACTGTAGAAGGAAAATAACCTTGGCCCATTGCTGATCTCCTGCAGGCAATGAAGGATTTAACTTTTAAAATACTGATGTGCTGAAGTGAAAATAACAGAGGAATGCAAGGTGTGCAATCAATTATTCTAGAAGAAAATACAATCTATTTTCCAGAAGAAAATATAAGTTCTGGAAAAATAAACAGTGTTAAATTAAACCATGCTAATTATAAAAATGTGTCAATATTCTAGTTTAATTCTTTTCTTGATTAAATAAATGGGGAATAATTATTCCAAGACACTTGAAAATCTTTCCAAAATTAAATATTTTAGATTTTATATTTTTGAATGCTTTAAAAATTGAATTTATGTGCATTTCACTGCCACAGAGTCACACAGTCTGTTAGACTGGAAGGGACCACAGTGAGTCATCTCATCCAATCTCCCTGCTCAAGCAGGGTCATCACAGAGCACATTGCACAGGATTGTGTCCATAAGGTTCTCTAATATCTCCAGTGAGGGAGACTCCAAAACCTCTCTGGGCACTCTGTTACAATGCACAGTCACCTGCACAGTAAAGACATTCTTCCTCATATTCAAGTGCATCAGTTTCTGCCCGTTGTCTCTTGTCCTATTGCTTGGCACCACTGAGGACAGCCTGGCTCCTGTTTCTTGGCGCCCTGCTTTAGATACTTGTATACCTTGATGAGGTCCTCTCTTAGTCACCTCTTCTCAAGAAGATTTTCTTGTAAAGAATGTTCTCAAGAATATTCTAATTCAGTTTTTTCCTGATTAAATAAATTGAAACTCTTTCCAAAATTTCCAAAATTATCTTAGATTTTACATTTCTTAATATTTTTTAAATGTATGGGCGTTTCACTGTCAATTAGATGGAAGAGGTCTCTCTGTCTGAAACACGTAATTTCCCTTTCTCTGCTTGTGCCCAAGTGTTGTTCTGATGCAGTCAATCTGGGACCAGGGGCTCCTTTGCTTACCCCAGAGTTCCTTTTGGTGCCAGGTGGGTCTGTGAGCTCCCGAGCACCAGCACAGACTGGGGTCTGACCTACCTGACAACAGCTCTGTTGAGAAGGACCTGTGAGTTTTGGTGATGACAAGTTGATTGGCAGTGTTCCCTTGTGGCCAGGATGACTGACCGATGGTATCCTGGGGTGCATCAGGAGCAGTATAGCCAGCAGGTCCAGGGAGGTGGCCCTCCTCCTCTATGGGACCCTAGCAAGGCCACATCTAGAGTGCTGTGTCCAGTTCCAGGCTCCTCAGTACAAGAGAAACAAGGAGCTGCTGGAGAGGGTCCAGCAGAAGCCACAAAGATGATTATGGGACTGCAACACTGTCTTAAGAGGAGAGGCTGAGGGAGCTGGGCCTGCTTAATCAAGAGAAGACTGAGAAGGGATCTCATCAATACATTCAAGTGTGAAGTTGAATATGAATCAGCAGTGCCCTGGCAGCCAGGAGAGCCAACCATGTCCTCGGGGGCATCACCAGCTGGGCAAGGGAGGGGATTGTCCCACCCTGCTCTGCACTGGGCTGGCCTCACTTCAAATCCTGGAAGCAGTTTTGGGCATCACAATATAAAAAAGACATTAAGTTATTTGAGAACATCCAAAGGACGCTGTGAGGATGGTGAGGGGTCTGAAGAAGAAACCTTCTGAGGAGAAGATTTATGAGACTTTATGATGCTGCTTGGTCTGTTCAGGAGGAGACTGAGGGGAGACCTTTTTGTGCTCTTGAACATTCCTCATGAGGGGCTGTAGACAGGCAGGTGCTCACCTCTTCATTCTCGTGATCAGTGACAGGATTTGAGGAAACATCACAAAGTTGAGTCAGGGGATGTTTAGACTGGATATTAGGAAAAGTTTCTTCTTCAGGAGGGTGGTTGGGCACTGGAACAGGCTGCCCAGAGAAGTAGTCACAGCACCAGCCTGACGGAGTTCAAGAAGTGTTTGGACAATGGTCTCAGGCACAGGGTGTGACTCTTGGGGTGTCCTGTGCAGGGCCAGGAGTTGGATCCTGGTGGGGGCCCCTTCCAACTCAGCATATTCTGTGATTCTCTGATTCCAAAAAATATATAGATATATATTCTATATTATAAATAGATATATAAATATCTCAAAGACTGGTGTCAAGAGGATGTGCCAGACTCTTTTCAGCGATGCCAGCGACAGGTCGGGTAGCGTTGGCCATAAAAAAAAATACGAGAAGTTCTACCTCAGGATGAGGAAGAACTTTACGTGAGGGTGACAGAGCACTGGAACAGCTGCCCAGGGCGGTCGCGGGCCTCCCCCTCTGGAGACATTCCAAACCCGCCTGGGTGCGGTGCAGGTGTCCCAGCGCAGGCGGGGCTGGCCTGGGCCGTGCCCGCGGCTCGCCTGAGGCCCCGCTGCCGCCTT